TAAGGAGAGAGGGGGAGGGAGAGGCAGGAGGGAAATGGGAGGAGGGGAGGAAGTGTAGGTTTTTGAAAAAAAAAATCAAGACTCTAGCCTCGAATCTGGGAATCATTATTGAGCCTCTATAGGCAATCACTGTGGATTCATTGTGGTTGTAAATGACACGAAAACAATCTTCTAGCTCAGGCATCACTCCCACATTCAGTCTTATGCCTCTCTACTTTTTGTTGTTGTTGATACAGGGTCTCATTATGTATCTCTGGCTTGCCTGGAACCACAACCAGCCTTGATGGTTACCTGTCCTTTAATATTTTCCTTCCACTAGGCTGGATTAGGAATGTCTCATACTCTGGTGGCTGTGGAACGTCTTATAGCTTAGTCACAAAAATGTTGAATTATTCAGCACTGTTAAAGCTTTTTTTGAAAACCAAACCGCAACTGAAGGCTGAATTTGTTGACATGTGCCTTTAATTCCATCATTCAGAAGAATGAGGGAGGTGGATCTCCGTGAGTTTGGTCTACATATCAAGTTCCAGTCCAACCGGAACTATATGGTGAGACTCAGTCTTAATATTTACTTGGCAATAATCATTAAACAAAAACTTGCTACCTATGAGCCCCCAATCAGATGCAATATAATTGCTTATGAGATCTGTATCAGAGAAAGTGAACTCTTCAAGCCATAGTTTGTGTGTTACTTGGCATGTAACTTCTCCCCCCTCCCCCGATAAAATAAATTTAGAATTCTTGGAAATTTCTCTGAATTTATCATTTAACTTCTTTCATTTATTTCAAGGTTCTTACAGCCTGTTTGAATGTATGATCTTAATGAGACTGTCACTTAAATTTGTGCTCTTCAGGTTACCCAATAATTTTTCTAAGTGCCAAAAATATTAGTTATAGTAACAAATATGTTTCTGCTTAGAAAATTAGAATAGTTAAGGTTCTTTGACCAGTTCTACTTCAGGAAAATGGTACCTACTGATACACATTTATCCCATAATGGGTTTCTATTTCTGTAGAGGATAATATTAATGAGGTAATTCCATTCTATTGTGGAGATTGCTATGAGACTATCCCTAGAATGGGAGTGAGGGGATGGAAGGTGAACTAGCATAGACAACGGATGGTATACCAGAATGAATAAACCTTCAACAGGGAAAGTAAGGGGACTGCAGTTGAGGCGAGGTGTCTGAGTTATATGACAGTCAACCTAGTTGGAACTTTTATGAAGTTTATGTAGCTCTGCATCGTTATGAGGCAAATAGAATTTGACCTGAAAATAATTTGGTTAAATTTTCTAATGAATTGCTATCTTTAGTCTTCAGTTAACTCTGAAGTAATTTCTATTATCAAAACCCCAGGAATATAAGGGAAGGAACTGCATTGCCAATGTGCTTTTGAAATTCTCACAGGAAAAATGTGTCTCATGTTTCTTGCAAACAGACTTCACTTCTTTCTATTAAGGCTGTGTTCATTTGTTTTCTTCAGGATTAGCTGGACAAAGTAGAGTTGTTGGGTAGAAAGTACTAAATGAAATATTTAAGTTTTGGTGTATAGTTTTCTCATTTTCAATACTCTCAGCTCAGTGTTTATTCAAATTTTTATGGGATTTTAATTTCTGAATAGTTTAAAATTTTAGTTTAGGAAAAAATGTGAAAATAGTATTCTAATCACTTAAATCATGAGAAATGATTTTTTAATAATTTTCTTCTGAGAGTATTTTCTCAGTACATTTGATTAAAAAACTAGTACTTTTAAGATGCTGTACATTTTGCACAACACTTTAATGTATTTGAAGGAGCATGAAGTAGAGAGGCCAGGTTAGGTATTCTTCCCAATGTCACATGCACCAGGATTCTAGGCAGCCTCTGTTGACCCAGGAAAGAAGAGAACGATAGCAAGGAATCTTTGGCTCTTATTAGTGTCCCTGAGCATTATTATGGCAACACACGCACTGCTCAGCACAGTTTCCAAGGAGGAATAGCATTGCATAGAATCAACCTAGGGGCAGCAACACGTGTCTGAGCAGGGGCAGATGTAGTTACTCCATTTACAAAGGGACGATGATGTCTTCTGCATTATAACGGTGACATAAGGACCTGAAAATCACATCGTGTTCCCACAGAAACATTTTCTTAAATACACCTCTAAATTCTTATCTCCTTTTTGTTTACCTTCACTTATGCATGTGAATCTTCATGGTCCTTCTCTTATTGTAATGTAATATATAGAGGGAGGACTAATGCATTGTGCAAACATTTTAAGTTTTTTTTTTTTAATAGTAACTATGGAAACTAATGACCCATGGTTTTGGGGGATAAGATTCATTTAAATTTTAAACAATATACTAAGGGCTGTAGAAATATCTCAGTGGTTAAGGAGCATTGGATGCTCTCTAAAAGACCATGGATTCAGTTCCTAGCACTCACACAGTGTCTCACAACTATCTGTGACTCCAGCTTTAGAATATCTGACTCTCTTTTGGCATCTGATTGTGCCAGAGATGCACATGCTAATGTCCAGACAGGCAGTCAAACATCACACATGCAAAAGGAAGTTTTAAAAAGAGAAGAGAAGGAAATGCTTCTTTCAAAGACTTGAGTGAATGTTCACAAAAAGTTTCAAATCAAAATATGTACTTTGGCTTAAAGTCTTGCTTGGTCTTCTTATGCGTGTATGTGCAGGCATGTGTATATTGCCTTAGTGAGTTCGAGTCACCTATAAAGTTAAAATCTTCCCGTAAGATAAACTGCCAAAATTGCCTTTGATTTCCACTGCTTGTCCATCTCTTCAGTGCCACATGTTTTATCCTTGTCTGGACTGATGGGGACTAGACCAAGGACTGTGTTAGATCCCCACTAAAGCCATCCTTTACTTTCCCGGGTTATATTTTCTTTTGAAGTCATTTTGTACAATCCTTAAAGAGTTTTCTTTGAAGTTTAAAAATTGAGTAATAGTGTGAAGAAGATAGAGATGAGTTTCTTCCTTAGCATTCCAATGTTAGAATTTGCCTAAATATGACTTTCGACAAGATACATAGCAATATTAATTCATCACAATAAAGGCTGCTGCATTGTTATGTCTATTCCTGTATGTGATTTGCCATTGTAACTGGAGTTGTTTAGTTACATTCAATATTATTTTTAACTTTTAAAATTTTGAAAGTAACTTGTAACAAACAGTTTAAGAGCATTTGATCTTCCTCTGGCCACACAAAACACGTCTCTGCATGTGAATCTTCATGGTCCTTCTCTTATTGTAATGTAATATATAGAGGGAGTACTAATACATTTAACTAAAGGATGGCATGAAGGTGACTATAGAGCTAAATACAAAGGGCTTGCCAAATCAGTCTTGCTTCTTTCTTATGCTGTTAGTCTGAATCTCTAAGTTATGTTTTCTGTATTAAAATATACAAGGTCCCAGCGAGTGATTCTTATTATATCATTGTTAATCAGTTAACAAAATACACTGGACAGGGAAAGTTAATATTCATTTACTTCCAACTAATCAATATGAAAAAAATTGAAATTTTAAGGTTCATGAAAATTTATCTCACATTCACATTTCTGTTAAAACAATTCTTTTTCCTGTGGACAGCATTTTGCTCAAGTTTACCCTTTCACTGGGGTGATCAGACAGCATTAAATTATCCATAAAATAAAAATATACCCAACACGTTTATTATGCACTCTACGTCTCCAAACGTTTCTTTGCTGGAAAGTAACAAAGACATCATATTTTTCCTGTTGGGTTTTTCCTCAAAAATGGTCTTTGATTTACCCCAACATCTTATAAATCTACTCAAAACTTGTGTCTACTATTCCTTTGTGTTCCCTAGATAACGGTAGTATGTTAAGAGCATGATTAGTATGTGTGTGGAGAAATATCAAACAAAAAATGTATAAAATTAAGGATACTCATCTTTTCATGTTTTAAGTTTTAACATTTACAATGCTGAGGTCTATTTGAATAAAACAGAAATAAACAATGGAGGTTACCAAGGAGCAAATTTCAACCCAAGGATAGCTCTTATTGGAGTGCATCTGACAAGTAGCTAAAATCTTTAAGGACTAAAATAGAGTGTGATCAACTTTAGGATTCCCAAGTTCTTGGAATTTCATTTTTTAACAAATTGCAGGACATGGACACACAACTTTGTGGATTGTCTTTAGTATGGAAGAATGATCTCTCTGAAAGAATAAAATCCTAGTTCTATAAATGGGTCAAAAGGAATTGATTTTTTTTATTTATATTTCAGAAATGTAAGCAACTGAATGAAATGGTTTCATATACATTTTTACATCCGGCAGTAGTGGCACACTGTTCGTACATTAATTCTATAGGAAAATGTACAACCTTCTTTTTCTGCTAAATAAGATCCGTCAAGTGTTCTTAGATGGAGAAAAAAGAAGCCTCTTTCATTACTGGCTGAATGAATGAAGTAACAAGAGTAAGTCGTGTTTCTTTCAATAGTTAATGTGTCAGTGAAGTTACTGCCCAGGGGTGTGTTCATGTTGACAGGAGTAATACGGGGTCTTACAATTTCTCAAAAATGTAAACGCCCAATTTGAAAACTTTACAAAATAGGCTTTTAGATTTTGCAACTGAATTTGCCCAGGGACATGAAAGTCCTGAAGCAGTTATTTTAAGTGTACTTCTGTAGTTCCATTCCTAGCTGGCTGTTCTTCGATTCCCTAATCACACGGAAATGCATGCTTATGAAGTTAAGCCGCTGAAGACGCAGAATGCTGATGACATTTCTCTTTATCTGACTTATCTAAAGAAAACCCAGTTAGTGGTAATTCTACCAAATACTTTTAACAGTCACATAAAATTTTAATTGATTTTCAAACAATACAACGGTGCCATGAATCCAACCACACAGAATATAAGCCTTAAGCCCACTAGGTTTAAGCGGTTGTGTCTTTGTAGACTACACTATGTAAAATAGAATCTGATAACTCCCTGGTGTTAGAGGTAGACAGTTTCCTTTCAAATCCTAGGTTTGGTCCTTTATTTTATTCAGCAGTGAAAGCCATGAATACAGAACGAATAACAGTTGTGTTACAATTCTCAACCATGACTTCTAACGTCAGAGAATTCAAAATATGAACATAGTACACAGTAATGAAAGTATCAAAAATTAGTTTACCTCAAAGAAGATAAATAAAACAGGTATATCCCACCAATACATAAACAGATGTTTGTGCTACAGTTAAAATTTGCTGTATACAAAAGATCATAGTCTCCATAATCAGCTTATGGTAGAAGCAAGAATACATGAGCCATTTAAATTGTCAGACATTATGCTTTATAAGGTATGCACAGAAGTTCAAGCAATAAATACATACATTAGTTCAAAGCCTTACAATAGCTACGCAAAGCAGATGCAGAAAAGCAGGTTTGCTATTACTAGCAAGCAATGATAGAAGAGTAAAAATCCATGAAATGCATTAAAGCAACATTTTTCTTAGAAAAAGTCTGGTCATTTATGGGTCCACCAACATTTTTACATAATATGCACAATTATCAAAATACAGACCAAGCATTTCAGAAAACTCCAAAAAACCTAAAATCTATTTTCAAAGCAATTGCAGTTTTGGAGGTTTTTCTGGTATAATGTGCAAGCAGCTATTTTTTAAAATTGTATTCATATAAAACCCATGCAGAACTCTACAGGTATATGCATTCTGTGGCTGAGACTTCCTTTCAAAAGTTTTGAAACTGAGGTATGCATACTTTAGCATTGTAGTCTTAGGCCACCCTCCCGATGGTACGACTCTCCCAGTTCCTTCCAGTCCATCAAAGCATTTTGGACATGCACCCGAAAGATTCATTCCCTTTCAGATAATCCTGACGGCAGTATCCTAGACATCAGAGAACCATCCTTCAGAATACCAATCTCTCTTTTGAGACCATGTCAATCACTTCCGGTTCGTTGATCATGACCCAAAGACAAACATAATGAAAAGTAGCAGTTACTGTGACGTTCTCATGTTTCATGCAATCTGCCATAATTGTTCTAACTTTTTTCTCTTTTTTTCCTTTTTTTTTTCCTTTTTTCTTTTTTTTTTTCTTTTTCCTTTTTTTCTTTTTTGCAGAGGTAGAAGCTTTCAGAAAGCCTTTTGGGTAAGTGGGAAAACCCTTTTGAAAGCCGTTATGTCCTTTTTTTGGTGTGAAAGATGACTGGGTATCTCTCTAACTCTATTTGCTGACTTCAGCAAAGGATAAACATTGAGCTTAGTTTGCAAGAACCGGCTCCACCACACGGAGCTCTAGCAGCCACCGTCTGTCAAAACTGTTTGTAAAGCAATAACCATAATCAGGTTATGAGGTCCCTTGGTTGGGGGAAAAAGTATTATCAAGACTTGGCACAGCACATGAAAAGCAACACGTAAAGTCTCTAGGTTTTAAGCAAACATCTGGCTATGCTATCTTCAACTACACCATAACGTATTATCATAGTTTTGGGGTTTAGAGTTGTCAAGCAAATCAGCATTCCAACAATTTGGCCTGCGCAAGTCTTTGAAGGGAGTGTGTTAGTGTTTATATCCCATATAAGAAGAGGCAGAAGTATATGTAACTTTGGTTTGACTGAAAATAAATACCATGGGCTACACTTGCTATAATCTTTGCTTTCAGTGTAAAAACTCAGCTAGATCACTTTAAAATCAATAGGAAATTAATTTTTGGCTTTACTAGACCTTTTATGTTTGGTTCCTACTTTTTGTTTTTTTTTTATTATAACTTAAGACTATAAAAAAATAGTACACGACAGAGATTCAGACCATACAAGACATGTACTTCTAACAACATGTACTCATCACCAAAAAGAATTGACTGGATGGAGAAAACAAAAACACAATGTACTATATATATATAACAATACGCAATCTGCATTTGCATCAAGTACACAATTGTTTTGGTCAGTGATCCACATTTGTTGCTTTCTAGCATGTCATAACTTCCACTGCAGATTTTGTCCTCACCTCTGTCTTTAACGAAAGCAAATCTTCATTGCATTTAGATGGACTTTTGGCCTCAGAAGATTACTCTGTGACTGAATGAATACTTTTATCTGTGGTTTTGTTTTTCTGTCATATTTGTTTCTTTGTTTAGGGCTAAATGAAAAGATCCCAGAGGTCATCAGAAAACAGCAGGTAGTTCATGGAAAAGGTTCCTTTGTACTAATTGAAGTTACAGAAGGCTGACCAAAGCATGTGGCTGCTTCTGTCCTGGGGCTCTTGGCCATGGTTCGAGTTGGCTTTGGTTTGCAGCTGTAGCCTTTGACTGTGTTTGCAGGTAGACAAAGCTTTATCACAAGGAGGTAAAGAGTACAGTTGTAAGATCTATGCAGATATGCAAATGTTTCTATGGTGCTTGCACAGATAATGTTAGCTTAGGATTGCACTTTACATCTTAACACTAACAGCACAGACTGGAAGCCTAAGGTGGGAGATGGTTGCAACAGTCTAATTACTGTGTTTTGGAATAACTAACTTATGTCATTTACAGTTGGTGGCACCAACATAAAAAACTAATGTTCTGTTGTTTAAAATTGAGCTAGATACAAGCAGTGACTAATTTCTGATACTACTCCTGTGCAAATTAAAAAACAATAGCAACAAGTTGAACTTGACCAGCAATTGTTTCTAACATTACAACTACTGAATGCTGGAAAATTCACATTAATGAAACTAACACTATTTTTGGCAGTATATGAGGCGCAGTTGCTTTCTATAGGACATGGATCCTCATATTCAGTCATTTCATGAACCCTTAAGAGCCACATTTTTTAAATGGGCAGAGCCATTATGGAAAGAACAGTTCTTTTTTTTTCCCAAGAAAATCAGTTTTTTGCTTTTTTTTTTCTAAAAAAGAAAAAAGAAAAAGAAAAGAAAGTAAAATAAAGAAATAAACGATAAAGACAGAGAGAGAAGAAAACAAGCATTTTGCCTGTTGGTTCTGAATCCCAAAGGGCTGGCTTGGTAAGTTCCTTTAGGGCTGTCTCCTTTATCCATGCTTAATAAATAGTCACAGTAAAAATGTGTCAAATATTCATGGTTGTGGAGTGGTTATGAAGGTCAGTGATATGTCCCTTCACACTGAGGTGTCACAAGTTCATTCTCATTCCAGATCTTCAGATAAAGGCTCTTCCTCAATCTCTCTGTCATCCTCTAACTCTGGACTGTGATTGGCTGTTGTCACTAAAGACATGGGACAGTCTTCATCCTCGGCAATCACAGGTTCTTCCTTGACGTGGATCGAATGT